TAAGTGGAGAGGAAATGTTTTGAGAATGATGAGGGCAATGAATGTACAAATGTCCTTTACACAATTGATGTATGTATGGATTGTGATAAGAGGTGTATGAGCCCCTAATAAAACGATTAAAAAGAAAAAAGAAAGTAGGTCAGGGGTTATTCTCCCTAAGGGTTATCAGCCATCCAGAGCAAGCAGACACCAGTTTATCCCACAAGAAGTAGGGCCCACTCCCTTCTGATAAGGACAGTAGTAGATTGTTTCCCTGAAGGAGAACCCAGGGAGGGCAAGCGCAGTCAAGGTTGACCAAGGTTAGGCCACTATCATGAATCTACAGTCCGCCCTTCTTGTCACATGTATAACCTTAGTCCCTCCCCTTCCTACTAGGTGTATACCCCTAGCTCATCCCCTTCCTGTCACACTTATGCCTATTGTACATCCCCTTCCTATGATGTGCGTGGTTACCTGTAATCACATACTCTAAGTAGATATAAGCCTTGGTTAGCAATAAATCACCCCACCTGGTCCTCAGCCCGTGCTGTGCTGACCTGGCTGGTAAGATCATGGCCATCCAGGAGGTGAGCATGCGTCCATGAAATATGTCTGACTCCTTTATTTGACCCTCTCTACCATTTCCCTATGACTTATCTTTATATACATATCTTACCCGTACGATTGCACCTAGCAAACCTGCGATTAGTTGGGGGGCGGGGGGCTTTCCCCCACAAATAGCTTTGGAAATGATATCACCAACAAGAATCTAACAATTAAAATATACATAAAACTTCAACAATTTAACCACAACAAGACAAATAAGCCAGTCATAAAATGAGCAAAGGACTTGAATAAACAGTCCATCCAAGAGGATGTCCAAATGGCCAGCTAACACAGGAAAAGATAGATGCTCTGTCTCATTAGCCGTCAGAGAGGTGCAAATCAAAACTACACGGAGAGATCATGACCATGCCAGTAGGATGGTGAAGACAACGAAAACAAACTGCAAATATTAGATGGGAGAAAATTGGAACCCTTACCTGTTGCTGGTAGAAATATAAAATGGTAGAGTTGTGGGAAACAACGTGGCAGTTTTTTAAAAAAATGAAAAAAAGCACTACCATACTACAACCACACCAAACCCACTGTCATCGTGTAGACCTGACTAACACCAACCCCACACAGAGTTTCTGAGGCTACAAATCTTTACAGGAGCCAATAGCCTCATCTTTCTCCCTCAGAGTAGCTGTTGGCTTTGAACCACTGACCTTAAAGTTAGCAGTCCAATATTTACCCAATGGAGGTACCAGGCCTCTTACCATGTGGTCCAGCAATTCCACTCTTGGTATGTACCCAAAAGACTTGAAGGCAAAGACTCTGAGAGAGACGTCTATGCCTATGTTCATTGCCGCACTATTCACAATAGCCAACAGGTAGAAGCAACCAAGATGCTCACCAACAGATGAATGAATGGATAAGCACAATGTGCCATATACGTACAATGGAATGCTACTTAGTCAGTAGGAGAAATCAAGTCTTGATGCATGCTACAGTATGGGATGGATCTTGAAGACATTGTGCCAAGTGAAATAAACCAACGACAAAAAGAAAAGTATTAAATTATCTCATTTATATAAGACAAGAAAAAGCTAATAGAGGCCAAAGTTTGTCAGTGCTACCAGGGATGCGTGGGTGGGGAAAAGATGGTAGGCTCTTGGTAATGAAAAAGTTGCATTGATTAAGAGTTGAGCGACATAGCAAATTGTTGCACGAATGTCGATATATTACATAACTTTAAAACAGTGAATTTGCAAAATTTGTGTGATAGATGTATTTAAAATGAAAAAAAAAAAAGACGATGGCTGAGACTATAGCCAAACACTTCATGGGGCTTGGTCCCTTGGTTTGGAGGTTGAGGGTCATGGTTTCAGGGGGCATTCCAGTTAATTGGCCTAACGTTGTGTTTAGTGCGCTGTTCTAACTTTTAATTCATTGCATAGGATGTTGGGTCTTAAAAGCTTGCAAGCACACCCACTGGCCTCTAGTCACCCAAACTACAGAGGAAGGCGAGTTGGGAGAAGGGGCGGGGATCTGCCGTGTTGCTAACTACCTCCCTGCCTTGCCAGGAGAGCAGAAAAACTGGATAGTGCCCAGCTGTCAATACTGAACATTCTGATAGAAGATTCCAGAGAAGACTCCTAATCAATAAGGGGAGAATGCACAACAGAATTTCTCATAGACTAGACTTTCTGGAGTCAAGAAAGTCTAGTGAACATTGCCTTGAGATAATTGATAAATCAAAACTATCCCCTGAAGCCGTCTTAAACCAAACAATAGTTTAGCTTAGTTAGTTAAAAAAAAAAAAAGCTGCCTAGAGCATTATGCTTTTAAGAACTCTCTCTGTGGGACCCAATTGATAAAAGCGATGCAAGCACTGAGAAACCTCTGGGGGCGGTGAACCTATGTTCAGGAGTAAGGAACAACTCAGAAAAGGAGGGCGAACGGGCCCACACAACTAAGAGGGTATCACCAATGTCACCACCTTGTACATGCAGAAACCCTCCAATAGCTGTACATTCTACTGTGTCTGTTCTCAACAACAAGATAAATAACACTGACCTGGGGAAAGTACATCGGACAATCAGCCTTTCCTACAACACCATTTCTCTGAGTATGTTCCTTGGGTCACCTGTACCTGGAAACCTGGAGGGCACATTCCAGGATTTCACCCCAAACCCATTGCATCTGCCTCTCTTATAGGGTGGGGCCTCTACAAATTTCCAAACATTTTTGGCCTACCACCCCCATTTCAGGGGGAAAAAAATGACTCGGCACCCCCACCCTGGCCACGAACAACTTGTACCACAGCTCACAATGCAGGGTAACCTGGAGGAGTCTGCTTCTGCAACACCTGGAGCCTGGATCGTCCCAGAGCACCCCAGGTGAGACACACTACACTTTCCATAACTCCACTGGCGGTCCTGACGCACACAGGAGTATGTGCACCACTGCATTCCTCAGTGATAAGATTATGGCGAACATTCCTACCCATGATTCCCAAAGCAAAGATCTTTGAAAGTCAATGGCTAGTATCCTTGGGAGGTCTGAATCACCTATTAATGCTTGCTCATTTGAGAAGGGAAAAATAAAAAGTCAATGTCCTTGGGATTAAGAGTTTCTGCTTTCAGATGCATATTATTCAGTACCTTCTCCTATGTAAGTTGCAAGTTGATGGCTTTGTAAATACACGGAAGTCTACATTTAGCTGGTTTTGCCTCCTCACTACTTTCAGGAGTCAACGGACTCATAGTGACCCCGTAGGACAGGGTAGAACTGCCCCTGTGGGTTTCTGAGACGGTAAAATGTGGTGTGTCTCTGTCTGCTTGGATATTACCTTGCAGTAGTGATACACTTCTAGAAGAATTTAAAACAAGGCTGTCTTTTTTTTTTTTTTTCAAGGCTGTCTTTATGAGATAATGTTAAATAAAGAAGCAAGTCGCACAAAGTTAATGTTTTGTGATGATAGCTTTGTAAAGATACATAATGAGAATGAAAGTGCTCATAACCCATCATTAGGTTTGTTTTTGTTTTTTGCAATAAGTTAGTAGCCCCCCCAATCCCTTTAAGCTGTCTTTCAAGATGTGGGGTTTTTTACATTTAAAAATCATAATATATGTATACCTTGAAATATTACTTTTCAGTTAAAAAACAAGACTAATCTCAACCAATTATCAAATTAACTTCAAAATCATAAGGTTAGGAATACTCACTTTTAGGCCTTAAATCCCTAACACAGCTATTTCAATTTTTCAGTTTCCTCTGTTTGCAGGCATATTTTTTAGAGTCGTTCTGGTGGTGTATTGGTTACACATAGTCAGCAGTTCAAAGCTACCAGCTGCTCCCGGAAACCCTTATGAGGCAATTGTGCTCCATAGAACAGACCCTACTCTACAGGGTCGCTATGAGTCCAAGTCCACTCCACACCGATGACTTGGTTTTCAATGTGATTTTAGCATAGTTGAAATCATAGTTTATGTAAAGCTTATGCTCCATTTTCCAAATGAGTTTCCATAGTTCCTCATAGCTTTGGAACTATTTTAGAGGCTACATTTTGATTAAATGGATACACGTTCCTGATAAGTATCTCTGTTGTTTTTAGTTTTGATTTGTTGCATATAGCATAGTTAGAATCATCTCTGTATAACAGACTTTTAAGTTATTTCTCAAATAAATTTCTAGCAATGGTTTTACAAATTCAAAGGATATGACAATTTTTATGGATTCTAATATGTATTTGCCTCTTGCAATTCAAAACACTATCAATTATTACCACAAGTGATGCAAAAAAGGACTATATTTCTAAGAAGGCTGGAAAGTGTTGAAATTAAAAAACAAAACAAAATCTCTCTTTCTATGCACTAGAGATTGTAAAACCAACTACAATTGTCCAATAAAATAAATCATCTCATTTCATAGTTAGAAAGACACAGAAATTTTAGCTATGAAAGAAAACAGCTATTTTTTAAAAAAGGATATTTAGATATTTTACATTTTTAAAGCATATTTGATTTATTTTAGATGTTTTTCCCAGCATACTTTACTTTTATAGATAAAATAAACTAATTCAAAGAAATAGCAGCTATGAGAAGGCTTCAAAGGATTCTTGGAAAGATGGAATTAAAGATTAATTTTTCCACTCACTTTTAGAAGTCCCCTTGTTTTCCTGGGGGAAAAAAGGTGTGGTTGTTTTAGAAAGAACATTTTAATGCTTATCTCCTTTCCTTAAGAATAACCCTATGAAACTTGCCAAGTCCATTAAAGGAACTGGTAAAATGACCATGATACTAATCGTAAACGTTAAAGGTCATTAAGAAATCCATGCAACAAATGACCTACCTGATCTCGCCAAGCACCACAAGCCGATGAAGAAGTATAAGCTCAGCATATGGAGCGCAGGGAGTGTGGCCAGCGAGAACGTGCTCCTCCGCTGGGCTCCTGGCTTCCACTGCGGACTTTGCTCTGCTCCGCCGCCCGCCGCCGCTGGCTCAGAGACTAATCTCCAGGTGTGGTGACAGTCAACAGGAAGTTCCCAAAGGACTGCAGGCGGCTGCCAACCCTTTCGGAATCTTTTGCCTCCTCTTTTCAATAAAAGATCAGGCACTTTCTACCTTACACAATTGTATGCATATATTAATGTTATAATTTGCATTTGAAGAATGACGAGTTCAAAATAGTTTCATTCCTTGTGGGCGGCTTCTTCGTCGTGGAGCTTGGTGTGTTGAAATCAAGTGTGATTTGAGCTCTTCCTTATCCCCACATCCCTTGTTCTTGTGAATGAAGTAACAAAGGCAGTCACTGCTCCATAGGCCTGTATATACAAATCCATTTTTGTACGTTAATTCACATTCTCCTCCTCAAAGGGCAGAGTTTAGATTTCATTAAGAGCATTTCCTTAAATACAATCATGTATCATATCTGCCAAAATATACCTGCCTATACTTCAGATTAGAGAAGACTGTGTGTGTGTGTGTGTGTGTGTGTGTGTGTGACACAGAGAGAGAGAGAGAGAGAGACCACACACACTTTAAAGTCTATATTTATTTGCTGTTATATCTCCCATGCTTGGTATGCAGGAGGCACTCAATAAATATTTATTGAGTGAATAGACATTGAATTTGGCAGGAAAGAGGTGGGTAAGAAAGGAGGTAAAAACCAAACTGAACCAAACCCATTACCATCGAGCCAATGACAATGTATAATGGCTCTTTGGGATGGGTAGAACTGCCCATGTATTGTTTATCTCTATCTTTGCTACTTCCTTTCCAGAGTTTCTCTGGGCTTAGCCCTTCGTGAGTTTAGAGTGGGGCTGCTAACAGCTTGGTCAGCAGTTCAAAACCCCCAGCTGCTCCGAGGGCGAGTACTCCCCTAAAGATGTACAGTCTGGGAAACCCATAGGGGCAGTTCCACCCTGTCCTGCAGGGTCACTGTGAATCTGAATTAATTCGATGGCAATGACTTTGGTTTGGTTTGGGAGCGTTCTATTACAATTGTGCTAGAAAATAAATGATCAAGTCATAGGGTTAGAAAGGCACAGGGATTTTAGCTGTGAAAAATAACAACATTTGACGTTTTCCAGAACATTTGACTGTTGTATATAAAATTAGCAAGTTAATTATTTTGAAATGAAAAATAAATGCAAAAGATTAGGGAAGTATTCCAGAACCGAACCAGATCAGAGTTGAAAGTAACTAAACTCCGTGGCTTCACGAGGGTTAATGCCCTTTTTGGTGAAAGTGCTCCTTACCCTTCCTCTCAGACGTCTGGTGGGCTGAAGCGTGTCCAGATAAATGAATAAGGATTTATGATGCTTTCACTCAAAGTTTACGTCTGGTAAAAGCCATTTGGCCATTTAGTATTCTCAACCCAAAGTGTTCTTGAAAATCAGTAAATCTATAAACCAATGGTTATTCCTAGTTGGGGGGAGGTGGGAGGAGTGGGGAAATCATCGCCTAGGAAATACTGAATTTCTGACTATGGTAGGGGAGACTGGCTATGAGTCCGTGGACCGTGGAGCCCTGTGACACGATGGATTACTTTTTGGCTGCTAACTAAGGTCAGTAGTTAGAACCCGCCACTCAGCAGGAGAGAGATGAGGCTTTCTGCTCCCAGGAAGCCTCAGAAACCCACAGGGACGGTTTGGGGTTGTCTGTTTGTTGGTTGGTGCCGTCAGATAACGTTGGACTTGCTAACTGCAAGGCCAAAGGTTCAAACTCACCAGCCACTCCAGGAGAGAAAGAAGACACTGTCTGTTCCACTAATGTTCACCTCAGCACAGTTCACAATTGCAAGGAGTTGGAAACAACCTAAATTTCCATCAGCGGATGAATGCATTAAAAACCTGTGGTACATACATACAATGGAATACTACACATCCCTAAAAAGTGGTGATGAATACATGAAGCACATCGCTGCATGGGAAGAACTGGAGGAAATTATGCTAAGCGAAGTAAGCCAAGCACAAAAGGACAAGTACAATGTCAGTCCACTGAGGTAAGCTTAAAAATGCAAAAGGGGCATAGGGGAAAAGCTACTATATACAAACATTCCTAGGGTGAGGTCCAAGTACTAAGGCAGGGACAGACCCAATTCAGGGCAGCCAACTAAAAAGGAGGGGAAAAGAAAGAAAAAGAAAAAAAGATATGGGTAGCAAGGGAACAGGGCACTAACCCACCCAAGGGGAGGATGTTGTTTATATCTCCACAGAAGAGGGAGAGAGAGACCAGGCTTCAACCCAGTGTGCCAAGGCATGAATGCAACATACCGGCATGAAGCAGGAAACCAATAGAGAGGTCTGCGGAGCCAGCCCCAATCCCAGCTACATGGACAATCCCCCAGAGAATTCACTTCAGAGGACAGCACTGAAGCTATAGCTCAGGGAGAGGGGTGCATCTGATCAGACCACACAGGAGCAAGTTAAGAGGGAAGGAAGGAGAGAGAGTGGAATACATCCTGGCCCACTAAGCCCCGAGGATTATATTCCTGCTTAGAGCAGTCAATGCACAGAGAGGACCATAGGGCCAGCCCCACATCCTTCTCTGACCCATAGCACTATGGGGAACAACACTGGAGACATAGTGTGGGAATTGTGCCTGATCTAACCCCACCACACTGGGGCAAAACTCTAAGGGCGTGCAAAAGAGCAGTAAGGGAAGCAAAGCAATGAAGTCCCCGGGGAATATAAAAAGTAGACTTTGGGGCCAGGGAGTGGCACCCCATCAGACTTGACTAGAAAACACTCCTAAAGGTCAACAAACAGACCTGGAACTATTTATAGGCTTTTCTCTCTCTTTTGTTGCTATTGTTGTTTGTTTGTTTTTGTTTTCTTTTCTTGTTTTACTCTGCCTTGTTTTTGTGCTTATTATTGTCTCTGCATGTCTGTTTAGATAAGATCATCAAGATAAACCATTCAGAGGAGAAAATAATGGGACCGAAGGGGGTGGGGGACACAGGAGAGGGAGAGGCAGGGGAAAGGAAGTAGGTGTTAACAAACCCAGGGACAACGGAACAACAAGTGATCTAAAATCAATGGCGAGGAGGGCATAGGATGCCTTGTAGAGCTTGATCAAGGGCAATGTAACCTACAGGACTTACTGAAACCCTAATGAAGGCCCAACATGATAGTGGGACAAAAGGGAAGTAAAAGGAAATAGAGGAAAGAACCAGGAGGCAAAGGACATTTATAGAGGTCTAACTACAGGCACGTACATATGCAAATATATTTATACATAACGAGAGAGGAATAGATCTATGTACTTATATCTATAAGTTAAGAATGAAGGTTGCAGATGGACATTGGGCCTCGACTCAAGTACTCCCTCAATACAAGAACATGTTGTTCTAATAATCCGGCATTCTGTGATGCTCACCTTCCCAACTACAAGTGCTGAAGACAAAGCAGGTACATAAGCCTATGTAATCACGATGTGTCAATAGGATCACGTATTAGACATCAAAGACCAAAAAATCATATCATTGTGAATGAGGGGCAGTGCGGAGTGGGGACCCAAATCCCATCTGTAGGCAACTGGACATCCCCTTACAGAAGGGTGGCAGGGAGAAGATGAGCCAGTCAGGGTACAGTATAGCATCCATGAAACATACAACTTTCCTCTAGTTCTTTAATGCTTCCTCACACACACACACACCCGCCCTCCCCGTTATCATGATCCCAATTCTACCTTCCATATCTGGCTAGACCAGAGGATGTACATATGTACAGATAAGAGCTGGAAACACAGAGAATCAGACCCAATAATGAGAGTAACAATACCAGGAGGGGAAGGGTAAGGTGGGGGAGAAATGGGGAATCGATCATGGTGACAGATGGACAACAGAAATGAGGGTGAAGGGAGACAGTGGACAGTGTAAGACATGCAAGAATAATAATAATTTATAATATATCAAAGGGTCATGAGGATGAGAGGGTGGGGGAGGGAGAGAAAAAAAAGCTGACACCAAGGGCTCAAGTAGAAAGAAAATGTCTTGAAAATGATGATGGCAACACATGTACAAATGTGCTTGATACAATTGATATCTGGATTGTTATAAGCGCTACAAGAGCCTTCAATAAAATGATTTATAAATAAATAAATTTTTTAAATGGTTGGAGCAGGGCATTGACAGGGAGCTCCCAGAGGGTCAGGCTGAGACATTGACAGGGAGCTCCCAGAGGGTCAGGCTGAGACATTGACAGGGAGCTCCCAGAGGTTCAGGCTGAGTTCGGGAGAACACGTGGTGCAGGGATATTATTCTGATGCCAGGTGGAGCTTCGCTGAAAGCAAAAAAATACTAGAAAGATGTTTACTTGTGGTTTTTCTGGCTATGCCAAGACATTCAACCATGTGGAACATAACAAACTATGAATAATCTTGAGAAGAATGAGAATTCCAGAACACTTCATTGTGCTTCTGTGGAACTTGTACATGGATCAAGAGGAAGTTGAATGAACAGAACAAAGGAATACTGCATGCTGCATGATTTGAAATAAAACTGTGTGTCATGGATGTAGTCTCTCCCCATACTTATTCAGTATGTATGCTGAGCAAATAATCAAAGGGGCTGGATTACACAACCTTGCTTGCTGAAAGTGAGGAGAAAGGGAAGCACTTGGTGATGAAGATAAAGGATTATATCCTGCAATATGGATTACAACTCCATATAAACAAGACCAAAATCCTCAACTAGTCCCAGAAGTAACATTACGATTAACAAAGATTAAAGTCCAGAATTTCTTGTTGATTGGATCCACAATCAACCCATGGAAGCAGCAGTCAAGAGATCAAATGATGCGTTACATTAGATAAATCTGCTGCACAAGACCTCTTCAGAGTCCTCAAAGCAACCTCACTGCTTTTCAACACAAATGAACGACGGTAAACAAGATCTATGGATTTTACTAATGCCAGTCTCTGGTTTTTATATCGCTATTCAGTGAA